CATTGTTAGGATTCAGAGGAAGAAGTTGACATGACCTGACAGAATCCTGTGTTTAAATGGAATTTATCCACCATGTGTGAGGTGTATGAATATGCAAGAGGCTATTGTTTTTAAGGGTTAATCCTCTGCTAATGGGTGTCCTTTTTCAGGCTTGTGTTGTCCAGAAAAAGGTACCCAAATGTCTGCAACTCTTTGTTTTTATTGTCTCATATTGTCCTAATCTCAATTGTCCAAATTTTATATTACCATTGTTATAACCATTCTATTACGATTAAACTTTTTTTTTTTAAAGTGATTGGCATTTTTCACAGCTTCAAAACAAGCACTGGAGTTTGGATAGTGAGACCTCCAGCCTGCCAGGACCAGCCATCACCTGGCCCAGGCTGACAAGTCACAAGTGCTGGAGCAGACACTGCTGGCATTTGTCCGGCCTCAGGGGAAGCCTCAGCAGCTGCCAGGCAGGGCTGGGACACATCACCCACAGAGCAGGGATTTGGTCCCTCTGTGGCCACTTTAGCTGAGCCTGTCTCCAGAGGGATATTTCCTCCAGCCAAAGAATTCCCTGCTGCAGGAGTGTTACAGGCACAGAATGCCAGGATCACTGAGGTTGCAAAAGACCTCCCAGACCCTTGAGTCCAGCCTGTGACTGATCTCCACCTTATCCCCAGCCCTGGGCACTCAGTGCCACATCCAGGCATTCGCTGGACACCTGCAGAGATGCAACTACAATACATCCCTGCACAGTCCCTTCCAAGGCTTGACCACCCTTTCCATGGGGAAATTCCTCCTGCTGTCCAACCTGAGCCTGCTCTGGCCCAGTCTGAGGCCATTTCCCCTGGCAGGAGGGGCCCAGAGCTGCCCCCAGCACTGGAGGTGCCCCAGCAGTGCCAGCACAGGGGACAGGCAACGCCCTGGCCCTGCTGCCACCCCAGAGCTGGTACAGCCCAGGGGCCATTGGCCTCTGGCACACCTGGGCTCATGTCCAGCTGCTGGCACAGCACCCCCAGGATATCTTCTCAGGCACCATTAAACCATGACACCCTCTCTGCCAGCACTGCACCTTGTGCTGCACGGCTCCCTTGGGCTCAGGAGGTCCTCAGTGTCCCTTCAGGAGCAGCCAGAGAACCGTTCCCTTCCAAGGCTAAAATAGCCAAGTACAAGACAGTTTGGCACGAGGACACAGGAACGATGTGGGTTCCATGGGTGTTACTGCAGGGAGCAGCACGGGGCAGGAGCACGGCTGCCCTGAGCTCCATGGGGGCAGTTCCTGGGCTGGCCCTGCTCCCGGGAAACCCACAGCCCCCTCTGAGGTAATTTCATTTGGGGGACAGCTCCAGAGCTGGCTGTGTGCAGGGACAGGTCACCACTGCCTCCCTGCAGGAGGAGAAGCTCCCAGTCACACCCTGATCACTCCAGCAAGGGGGGGTCCCATGTCACACACGCTCTCACCTTTACCACACTGGTCCTTGCTGCACCCACAGCCCCCCAAATCCCGGCTCTCACTCACTGCAATTCCTCTGCCACACAACCCGGGGTTCTCCCTGCAGCCCCCCAACCCACAAACCTCGGGTCTCACTGCAACCACCCCCAAACTGGGGTTCCACTGCAGAGCTCTCCGTACCCTGAAACCACCCCCAATGTCTCACTGGAGCCTCACCCCAAAAGCCAGGCTTCCTTGCAATGCCCCGTCCCCAAACTCCAGCTTCCCCTGCCGCCCCCTGCCACCACCCCAGGTCTCACTGCAGCACCCAGCCCCTGTCCCCAAGCCCCTGGGTGTCACTGCAAAGCCACCAAACCCTGCGGCTCACTGCACCTCCCACCCAGGTTTCGGTTCTCACCTCAGCCCCCCGAAACCCCTGACAGTGCATTGTTGTGAAAATCCACACGTGCCAGATGTTTATGTGTGAGAAGAAGACAGAAGCATCCCAAGGGTGGTAGGCCAAAGCTAGGGGTGAAATCCACAGCCCTGCTGAAGGGCACGTGCACAAATGCACACGGCATGGGTAACAGGAAGAGTAGAAGCCATGATGCAACAGCAAGGCTACGATTGTGGTCACCGTCACGGAAACATGGTGGTGTGGGAAGTGAATTTGTAGACAATTCTCAAAGGCTGACAGAAGGTTCACATAGTGTGCATCTGTATGCAACCCTTGAGATAAAAAATGCTGACTTAGAAATGTCGTGGAATAGGACAGACATTGTTGGGAGAGAAATGGAACTAGAAACAAGTTTCAAAAGATGGCCTTGCAAATAAGACTGGATACTTTGGAGAAATAGGACTATGAAAGATGCATTGTAGTAGGATCCACGAGGGGTAATTTTAGGTTTTTGGTTTTAAGGCATCTACAGCATGGTGTGACAAAAGCTGATAGACCAAGAAACCCTTATAATGTATTGTAATTAGGGAATAGTTGGCTTCAGATTGTAATGGCGTGAACGATAACATCTGTATTGCCTCCCCCTTCACATGGGACTGAAAATGGAATACAAGTTTTTAAAATGCCTCTCAGTTGCCCCATCTCTGGGTCAGAAAAGGGCACAATCTGACATGGTGGGATGACTCCCATAGCTGGAGAGCTGCACTGGATGGCTACAAGCTCTTCAGAAGAGACAGGAGAGGGAGAAGAGGTGGAGGGGTAGCCCTTTATAGATTTGAACACCATAGGTTTTGAAACTAATGATGACAAAGTTGAGTTCCTATGGGTAACAATTAGGGGGAAGGCCAGCAAGGCTGTCGTCATACTGGGGGTCTGTTGTCATCCATCCAGCCAGGAAGAAGAGGTGGACAATTTGTTCTACAAGCAGCTGGAGGATGTTTTGGGATCACCAGCCCTTGTTCTTGTAGGTGACTTGAAGGAACAGCTTTCGTAGGTGCCTGGCATTTGCTCAGAATCAAACCACAAGAGCCCAGACATGAAAGCTGTTTTTTATTGACTGATTGGAAGAGTAATATCCTCATTAAAATGCGTCTGAGATGCCCTCAGTTCTTCAGTGGGGGTCTTGTGCACCGGGAGCTGGGAAAGGCGACTCGGCAGCAGCTGGATATCACAGAGAGCCGAGGACAAGAGCCCTTCCCGAGGGGGTGGGACAGCTCCCTGTGCCATGGAATGTGACCTCTAGAGCTCCAAGAGGAGCAGGGACAGTGATGGAGATGCTCTGTGTCCTCACTGCTGGGCACCATGTCCAGCATTCCCGAAGTGGGACAGCTCCCTGTGCCAGGGAACGTGACCTCCAGAGCTCCAAGAGGAGCAGGGATGGTGCTGGGGATGCTCTGTGCCCTCTCACTCTTCTGGGCACCTTGTCCAGCATTCCCAAGGTGGGACAGATCCCTGTGCCAGGCAATGTGACCTCCAGAGCTGAGTGGAGCAGGGACAGTGCTGATAGTGGGGACAAGCACTGGGGATGCTCTGTGCCCTCTCCCTCTGCTGGGCACCATGTCCAGCATTCCTGAGGTGGGACAGCTCCCTGTGCCAGGCAATGTGACCTCCAGAGCTCCGAGAGGAGCAGGGATGGTGCTGGCAGTGGGGACAGGTACTGGGGTTGTGACAGCCTGGCCAGAGGTGGAACAGATCCCTGCCAGGCAATGTGACCTCCAGAGCTCCAAATGGATTGGGGATGGGCAATGGGGATGGTCTGTACCCTCACTGCTGGGCACCATGTCTAGCATTCCCGGGGTGGGACAGCTCCCTGTGCAGGGAATGTGACCTCCAGAGCTCTGAGTGGAGCAGGGACGGTGCTGATAGTGGGGACAGGCACTGGGGATGCTCTGTGCCCTCACTGCTGGGCACCATGTGCAGCATTCCCGAAGTGGGACAGCTCCCTGTGCCAGGGAACGTGACCTCCAGAGCTGAAAGAGGAGCAGGGATGGTGCTGGGGATGCTCTGTGCCCTCTCACTCTGCTGGGCACCATGTCCAGCATTCCCGAAGTTGGACAGATCCCTGTGCCAGGGAATGTGATCTCCAGAGCTCTGAGAGGAGCAGGGATGGTGCAGGGGATGCTCTGTGCCCTCTCACTCTGCTGGGCAACATGTCCAGCATTCCTGAGGTGGGACAGCTCCCTGTGCCAGGGAATGTGATCTGCAGAGCTCCGAGAGGAGCAGGGATGTTGCTGGCAGTGGGGACAGGTACTGGGGTTGTGACAGCCTGGTCAGAGAGTGAGAAAACCAGGTAAGTTTTCTCAGGGCAGACTTGTGAGACTTCATTGTAGAGAAACGATGATAGCTTGTTATTATAAACAACCTGCAGGTGGTGTTTTCCTACTCTCTGTCCTCCTGGTTTTCTCAATGATTGTTTATAGGAAAGGTGTATTTTTTAATAAGCCAATCAGGTGAAATGTATTAATTGATTGACCAATCTGGTCTGAATGTATTGGAACCGTCTATAAAAAGAGGGAATTTTCGTATTAAAGTGGCTGCTGTGCAAACCAGCCTTCTGGTGAGTCTGTTTTCTTACTCAATAATTACAGACAGGCACTGGGGATGCTCTGTGCCCTCTCACTCTGCTGGGCACCATGTCCAGCATTCCCGAGGTGGGACAGATCCCTGTGCCAGGGGATGTGACCTCCAGAGCTTCGAGAGGAGCAGGGACAGGCACTGGCAGTGGGGGACAGGTATGGATGTGACAGCCTGGTCAGAGAGTGAGAAAACCAGGTAAGTTTTCTCAGGGCGAACTTGTTTGTTCTCTACAACTTCAGGGAGTTGTTGTTCTCTACAACTTCAGGGAAGTTGTAGAGAAGTTCTCTACAACTTGTAGAGAAACGATGATAGCTTGTTATTATAAACAACCAGGACAGATCCCTATGCCATGGAATGTGATCTCCAGAGATGAAAGAGGAGCAGGGATGGTGCTGGGGATGCTCTGTGCCCTCACTCTGCTGCGGCTGGCACGTCCCCAGCTACTCCATCCCAGCTCCCTGCTCCATCCCAGCTCCCTGCTCCATCCCAGCTCCCTGCTCCATCCTGGATTCTGAACATCCCTCCAAGGAGCCTTTCTGGGATGCTCTGTGCCATCACTCTCTTCTGGGCACCATGTCCAGCATTCCTGAGGTGGGACAGATCCCTGTGCCCCGGAGCATGACTTCCAGAGCTCTGAGAGGAGCAGGGATGGTGCTGGGGATGCTCTGTGCCCTCACTCTGCTGGGGCTGGCACGTTCCCCAGCTGCTCCATCCCAGCTCCCTGCTCCATCCTGGATTCTGAACATCCCTCCAAGGAGCCTTTCTGGGGCACTCCCACAACTCCAGTGACACAGCCCCAGCTCCCCTCTCCTTCCCCGATTCCCAGGAAGGCACCAGCCACAACCCCACTGGTCAGAAGCCCCACAGGAGGCAGCTGGGCACCTCTCCCAGCCCCGGTGTGGGATGCAGAGTGTGGGGTCTGTGCCCTGCTCCTGCCCCATTTCCCTGGCACTGAGTGGGACCCACAGAGAAGGAATGCAAGAGGAGACCCAGCAGCAGCAGCAGGGAGGAGATGCCCCCAGGGCTGTCACGGGGAGGAGAAGGACATGGAGCTGGGAATGTTGTGCCTGGGGCTGGGGCCACGGGAGATGCTCCAGCCCTTCATGCTCCCAGCAGCTTCTTGACCATGTATCCGGGCATGCTGTAGAGGAACAGGGCCACCATGATGAGGAGCAGCAGGGCCAGCACGATCTTGATGATGAGCCACTTGTAGCGGGTGCAGATGAGGTATTTGATGGACTTGAGCGGGTTCAGGAACCAGATGAACGACGTGTCTGGGCGGCTGCAGGGGAACCAAACACCCATCGTTAATCCATCGCCGTGGGAAAGGGATTCATGGACCTTAAAGGTTTTTTTTGTTTTTTTTTTCACCCACTTCCATGGGAAGGGACACCTTCCACGATCCCAGGTTGCTCCCAGCCTTGTCCAGCCTGGCCTTGGGCACTGCCAGGGATCCAGGGGCAGCCCCAGCTGCTCTGGGCACCCTGTGCCAGCCCTGCCCACCCTGCCAGGGAACAATTCCTCATTCCCAATCTCTCACCCAGCCCTGCCTTCTGCCACTGGGAGCCATTCCCTGGCTCCTGTCCCTCCAGGCCTTGTCCCCAGTCCCTCTGCAGCTCTCCTGGAGCCCCTTCAGGCCCTGCCAGGGCTCTGAGCTCTCCCTGGATCCTCCTCCTCTCCAGGTGAGCCCCCCCAGCTCTCCCAGCCTGGCTCCAGACTCAGAACACCTCCATGGCCTGCTCTAGCCCCTTTCCAGCAGGTCCACATCTTTCCTGTTTTGGGGCTCAGAGCCGGATGCAGCACTCCAGGTGGGAACAGAATCCCCTAATCCCAGGTCCCTGCTGCAGAGAGGCTTCTCCCACTCACTTGGGTTTCTCCAGGGGATCAGGCTCATTCCGAGCCAGCCCAGCAGGGGATTTCTCAGCCTCCTCTGCTGTCAGAAGGTGCAGCTCAGCCTCGACTTTGCCCTGCAGGGAGCAGAGAGCTGTGCTGAGGCCTAGGATGTGCTCCCAGCCAGAAGGAACAAAGCCACGTTGGGGGATGCAGGGTGTCCACGAAGAGTGCAGCGCCCAGGAGGCAAACCCTCCCTTTTCCCCCAGCCTTACGGTGATCTCCAGCTCATCGTTCTCGTCTCTGGCCACGAACGGCCACCAGCCCTTGACCCGCTTCTGCTTGAAGATGGAGATCATGGGCAGCTCGGCCTCGTTGGTCACCATCTCCAGGCTGCACTGCTTGGACGTCTTGGCTCCCCGGGGGAAGCGGTTCAGGTCCAGCTCGATGGCCCCTGGCAGGACACAGGGGAGGACAGAGGTTGGTGTGCCAGAAAGGCAAAGCCCTTGGCTGGAGAAGGGCTGGACCAGCATGTCCTGCCCTGGGGAGCAGCTTTGAGCCAGCTCTGGGAAGGAGAACGGGGTGTCTGGGCTACAGGAGCAGTGGAGAAAAGGGATCTCAGAATCATGGAGACATGGATGTTGGAAAAGAGCTCCCAGACCCTCGAGTCCAACCTGTGACTGATCCACACCTTGTCCCCAGCCCAGAGCACTCAGTGCAACATCCAGGTGGCACCTGCAGGGATGGTGACCATTGGCCTCTTGCCCACCCCTGGGCTCGTGTCCAGCCACTGGCACAGCACCCCCAAGGCCTTTCCCACCCCCCATTCCCAGCCTGGAGTGCTCAGTGGAGTTGTTGTGACCCCAGCTCAGACCTGGCACTTGTCCTTGGCCCGTGCATCCAGCCATGTCCAGAACCCTCTGCAGACCCTCCCTCCCCTCTCACCCCACCTGCTCCATCCAGCAGCAGCTCGGGGGGTTCGTGGGGTGCTCTGGACCCTCCACGTACCCAGGAAATCATCGGCTGAGAAGTGGTCGGCGTCCCAGACCTGCAGGGTGAGGCGGGCCGGGATCTTGTACTCGGTCTCATCCCAGGAGAACATGGACTCCTTCTTGGAGATGACGATCTTCTCCTCGGCCATCAGGTAGTCGAAGGGGAAGATGTAGCGCCAGTTGAAGTTGCCCTCCCCAGTGAGGGAGTGGTAGTGGACATCCGTGTCCTGCTTGTCCTCCTGCTGCCCCTTCAGCCACCTGCAGGGCCCGGGGGGTGAGAGGGGGGCACGGGTTTACACGGGGCAGGAGAGGGGACAGGACCACCCCGTCCAGGCAGCCAGGGTGCCCCCAGGGCTGGAAAAACCTAAAAGTTGTGAATAAAGGGATGGGGCTGCTCCAGGCAGGGAGCAGCAAATCCAAGGGGCAGGAGGATCCCAGAGGGAGCAGAGAACTTCAGGAGGAGGAGATTCAAGGGGGGTGTCCAAGGGCTCACCCTGGGTGAGGAGATGTTAGGGGATTGTACAGGAGCTGGGAAGGCTGGAGCAAGGCAGGATGGAAAGGGATCAGAACTTTGGACATGGGACTGGAGGGAGAGGACAATGGGAATGGCTTCCCACTGGAAAATGGGAGATTTGGGTGGGAATTCTTTCCTGTGAGGGTGGGCAGGCCCTGGCACTGGGTGCCCAGAGAAGCTGTGGATGCCCCTGGATCCCTGGAAGTGCCCAAGGCTGTTCCAAGCCTGGTCCAACCTGGATTTGGACAATTCCAGGGATGCAAGGTCCTCAGATTCCAGAGGATGGAGCTGCTGGGATGGCTCCAAGGTCTCCTCAGAGCTCAGGGTTTGGCTTGGATTCCTTGAGCTCCATCCCACAGGATTTGTCTGTTGAGAGAGAGCCATGGTCTGGAGCAGCCTGGAAGATGTCCACACCCATGGCAAGGGCTGGGATGAGGTTAAAAGTCCTTTCCCACCCTAAGCATTCCATGATTCCATGACTCTCTGACATGGTGAAGTTCTGGAAGGAATTTTTCCTTCCAGCTGAAGGAGGGTGAAGCAGAGATGGGAACAAACCAACAGAGCAACAATCACCAGCTTGGCTCCAGACTCTGGGCCTGGAGCTGGCAGGGTGGAAATGCCATGAGGGGACATCAAGACAAGCTCAGAGAGGGGCAGAGGGGACCAAATGGTGCTTTAAGTTTTAGCTTTTCTATTTTTCAGATTCTGTGCTGCTTTAGTGTGTCTGGATTTCACATTAGGGGATGGTGAGCTCTCTGCACAGAGCAGGGAGACAAAACAATTCCTGCTCCAGCTGGGGACCAAGGACAAATGATCCAAATCCCAGGCCCAAGAGCACAAAAACGTAGGCTGGAGAGAGAAAAACAAGCAGGATGGGACTGCAGGGGCTGCAGCTGGGATTGGACAATGAACTGTAATGTGCACATTGTACATTTACATTAGAACATTTACCAGTTCTAATTTACACAATGTAAATTAGAACTGGTAATTATTATAATAAACAGGCTTTGCTTGCATAAAGCCTGGTCTGTGTCTCTCAGCCTCTGCAATGCCAGGCATCTCCTCTCCCACAAGGAAATTGTCACATTCCAAAACCACCCCAGTGGAGCTCCAGACAAGCAGCTCCAGGCAGGGCCTGCTGGAGGTGCAGCCAAGGAGAGGGAGAGAGGCAGGAAACGCCAGCAGCATCTTTGGAATATCATCAGAGGCAGGAAAGAGACTCTAAGGAAACCCAGCAAGAACCTGGCCAAGATGCCGAGACATCCATCCCCTTCCCCTCGTGTCCTCTCCATGATGGATTCTCCCCAGAGAGGGGGTGAGGACCCCCAAACTCTCCAGTCCCACCTCCAAGCAAGGCACAGCAGCAGATGAGAACACAAGAACACATCCACCCAGTCCTGGCTGGTTTTGGGTCCCTCAGCACTGTTGGTGTCCCACCCCACAGGGATTGACGTCCACCCCAGGAGAGGACGAGGAAGTGCCAGTGGAATTCCAGGCTGTACCTACCCCTTGACAAAAATGTCACTGGAATTCAGCCTGGTGAAATTTTGTACCTATCCCCTGACAAAAATGTCACAGGATTTTTCCCCAGTGTAGGAATCACTGGTGGAATTCCAGGCTGTACCTACCCCTTGACAAAAATGTCACTGGATTTCTCCCCAGTGGAATTCCAGGCTGTACCTACTCTCTGACAAAAATGTCACTGGATTTCTCCCCGGTGGAATTCTTTACCTACCACCGGACAAAAATGTCACTGGATTTCAGCCTGGTGAAATTCCAGGCTGTACCTACCCCCTGACAAATGCCGAGACATCCATCCCCTTCCCCTCGTCTCCTCTCCATGCTGGATTCTCCCCTGAGAGGGGGTGAGGACCCCCAAACTCTCCAGTCCCACCTCCAAGCAAGGCACAGCAGCAGAAGAGAACACAAGAACACATCCACCCAGTCCTGGCTGGTTTTGGGTCCCTCAGCACTGTTGGTGTCCCACCCCGCGGGGACTGGCACCCACCCCAGGAGAGGAGGAGGAAGTGCCAGTGGAATTCCAGGCTATACCTACCCCCTGACAAAAATGTCACTGGATTTCTCCCTGGTGGAATTCCAGGCTGTACCTACCCCCTGACAAAAATGTCACAGGATTTCTCCCTGGGGAAATTCCAGGCTGTACCTACGACCTGACAAATGTCACTGGATTTCTCCCTGGTGGAATTTTGTACCTATCCCTGGACAAAAATATCACTGGATTTCTCCCTGGTGGAATTCCAGGCTGTACCTATCCCCTGACAAAAATGCACTGGATTTCTCCCTGCTGGAATTCTGTACCTATCCCCTGACAAAAATGTCACTGATTTTCTCCCCGGTGGAATTCCAGGCTGTACCCACCCCCTGACAAAAATGTCACTGGATTTCTCCCTGCTGGAATTCTGTACCTACGACCTGACAAAAATGTCACAGGATTCTTCCCAGTGGAATTCCCAGCTGTACCTACCCCCTGACAAAAATGTCACTGGATTTCTCCCCGGTGAAGTAGTCGTCGTCCTCCAGGATGACCTCGTCGGTGTTCCACACGATCACCCTGAGCTCGTACCTGCCCGAGGGAGTGAGAGGGAGGTGAGGCACGGGAGCAGGGAAGGGGAGCAGGGAACGGGAGCAGGGAATGGGATCGGAGATGTCAGGGTGCTGCTGCCAGGGCCAGCTGCCAGGAACAGGGAATTGCTCACAGCGATCTGTCCCAGGGATCTGTTGGGCAGGATCAGGGACAGGAGGGGATCTCAGCCATGGAGATGATTAGAGGGATGGGACTCTTCTTATAGGGACAGGATGGCAGAGCTAGGAATGTTCACCTGGAAAAGGATCCAGGGAGAGCTCAGAGCCCCTTGCAGGGTCTAAAGGGGCTCCAGGAGAGCTGCAGAGGGACTGGGGACAAGGCCTGGAGGGACAGGACCCAGGGAATGGCTCCCAGTGCCAGAGGGCAGGGCTGGGTGGGATATTGGCAAGGAATTCTTGGCTGGGAGGGTGAGGAGGGGCCTGGCTGGAATTCCCAGAGAAGCTGTGGCTTCCCCTGAATCCCTGTCAGTGCCCAAGTCTTGGATGGGGCTGGGACCACCCTGGAAAAGTGGAGGGTGTCCCTGCCCATGGCAGGGGGTGGAACAAGATGAGATTTAAGGTCTCTTCCCTCCCAAACCATTCCATGATTCCATGGTCTCCATGTAAGCTTAGATCAGCCTCACCAGGGTGAGCCAATCTCCAAGGGGAGCTTTCCCTCCTCTGCTCCCAGCCTCTGCAAGAAACTTGCCAAAGGCTCAACGGGGCAGTCCAGGCTTGGATTTTGGGGGATTTCTGACCTAAATTTGGTCTGCAAAACAATCAGACCCCAACTCTGTTCCTGCTCTCCCCCCTTTACTCAACAGGGCTGTGATTCCCCCAAAAATGGGTTTAGAGTCCTTCTGAGGGCTCCAGGAGGTTTGGGGTCTCCAGGGAATTCCCAGCAGGCTGGGGAGCTTCTCATCATTTCTGCTTGGCTGGGAATTTCTTGGTGATGAAACACAAACCATAAACATAACCCATAAATGAGCTGTGGGAAGGTTTGTGGAAAATAAGGAGAAATTCACGATAACAGATTTCCTCTGGGCAGCTGCTATTTGTGACCAAATTAAGAACCACAGAAAAACTGTTTTTCCTCTTGTAAAGAAGTCTCCATAACCTTAAGAAGAAGGACTTCTCTCCCTAAGTAAACTAAAAAAAAAAAAAAGGCTATTTTAGAGGCAGTAAACTGACAAAAAAATTTAAGTTTTGTTTCTTTACATTATCAGTAGGAAAAAAAAAAAAGGTGTAGGGAGGGGAAAAGTATTTAAAAAAGGTTGTCTTAATTCCTACTACTTTTTTTTTTCTTTTAATCACTATTAATAAAATTTTCCTTTTGCCCTTTTAAAGTTTTTACCTTTCTCCTAATCCTATCTCACAACAAGAAAAAAATACACTACTAATTAACCAATACCAAAACCCACCACACTTTTTAGTACATTAACGAAGAAATCTTAAAATCAAGAAAACCTCAAATTAGCAAAATTAGCAGACTACACAAGCTCCCATTGGAGCCATCCCATATCCCAACCCTGGGGGCAGGAAAAGGAGCCCAAGGACCAAGGCCAGCAGGGTGAGAAAGGACTAGAAGGGATATTGAGGGGAGAAATGTCCTTCTTCCCCCTCCGTGTGCTGTCTGTGCCTGCTCTTTCCTGCTTGGAATGCTGTCCCAGGGGCCTCCAGCACCCATCCTTCTGTCCACCACATCCCGGAAAAGCCCAAACTGTCCTGGGAGAGGCTCAGGGCTCTGCCCTGCCCTGGGATTGATGGAATTTCCCAGTTCACACAGGCGAGAAAGATCGGGATCTGCAGGGGATGGAAGATGAGGGATCCCACCCTCAGGAGCAGCTCTGGACCTGCCTCCAGTGCTGGGATCTCTGGGAATGGCAGCAGGGATGAGGAACCCAAGCGAGGGCTGGGCTGGCCCTGGAGCAGCAGCAGGAGGTGGGAGAAGCCGGGCTCTGTAGCTATGTTATTTTATGAAAAATCCTTTGCTAGGATATTTCTCCTATTCTAGCTGTGAAGCCTCAGAAAAGAAATTTAAATAATAACTATCTGATGGCTGTAGAATGTGGTCTAAACATTGTCTACCAACAGATTCATCTTTGATTGGTTCATGTGAGTTGTTTCTACTTAATAACCAATCAAAGATGCAGCTGACTCGGACTGTCTGAGAGTCCTGAGCTTTTGTTATCATTCCATTCCATTCCATTCCTGTTCTTTCCAGCCTTCTGATGAATCCTTTCCTCTCTATTCTTTTAGTATAGTTTTAGTACAGCATTTTAATATAATATATATCGTAATATAATAAATCAGCCTTTTGAAACTTGGAGTCAAGATTCAGTTCTCTTCCCACGTCCTGGGTTCAACCACAGGGCTCCATCCCCAACCTCCCGTTTTCCTTCCCCATTTTTCGTCTGGGCTACCAACCAATCCCAGTAAATTCCTTAAGTTCCTTACTTCTTTGGTTTCCTGGGAGAAATATCGATGGCAGGGCCGGGCGCTGGCATGTCCATGGGGAACATGTCCACCCACATCTCCAGGCGGCCCTGTGGAGTGGGAGAGGCACGGTCAGCTCCCCTTGTCCCTCCTGTCCCCTCCCCACCAGTGTCCCCCTCTTCCCACAGCCGTCACCCTGGCCATGCCAGATGTGGAGTGGGACAAGCTTCTCCCATGCCACGAATCTTTCTCCAGCCCTGCAGAAACATCTCATGGAGGGGGTGGAACTGGATGGGATTTAAGGCCCTTCCAGCCCAAACCATTCCATGATTCCATGATCTCCACATAATCTCCCGGATCAGCCTCACCAGGGTGAGCCAATCTCCAAGGGGAGCTTTCCCTCCTCTGCTCCCAGCCTCTGCAAAGAGCTTGCCAAAGGCTCAATGGGGCAGCCCAGGCTTGGATTTTAGAGATTTCTGTCCAAAACTGGGTCTGCAAAACAACCAGAGCCCAGCTCTGTTCCTGCGCTCCCCCCTTTACTCAAAAGGGCTGTGACCTCCCCCCAAAACAGGCTCAGAGTCCTCAGGATTCCAGGGAGTTTGAGGGCTCCAGGGAATTACCAGCACTGCCTTTTGTGTGCAGCAGCCCGGAGGTTCCCAGTCCCTTCTGCTTGGGAATCTGTTGGGAATTTTGCTCCCAGGTGCCCAGATATAGGGAATAATGAGCGACTGTGGGATGTGAAATGGATAAGCATGGATGAGGAGGCACTGGACATTTTCTTTGCAGGCCTCCTGGAGTGTCCTCCCCACCCAGAGGTGGGTTAGGGCTGCGCTGGCCCCCACGGGCTGCCCCAAATCCCGTTAGAAGGTGGGACCTGCTCGATGCCCGGCTTGTCGGGGTTGAGCAGCGGCCGCGTCTCCACGTGCTCAGGGACGAGGCGGCAGCCGGCCCGCGGGATGTCCTCCCAGTGCCGCAGCACCGCCAGCGCCAGGTGCTCGTCCGTCGGCTTCTTCTGGCCTGGGGGCAAAGGAGAGCTCGGACAGCTGGGACACAGGGGACAGAAAAGCACCCAGGGCCTCCACCTGTGCTCCAAGGTGCAGAACTTCCTCAGCCTTTCCATTCCTTGGCTTGCAGAACTGTCCCGAGGTGCAGAACAGCCACATCCTCTCCATCCCTTGGGACAAAGTGTTCCCAAGGAGTGCAGAACTATCCCAAGGTGCAGAACAGCCACATCCTCTCCATCCCTTGGGAACACTTTGTCCCAAGGGTTGCAGAAGTATTCCAAGGTGCAGAACTGCATCTTCCTCTCCATCCTTTGTGGAAACATTTTGTCCCAAGGGTTGCAGAACTGTCCCAAAGTGCAGAACTCCCTTGTCTTCTCCATCCCCTGGAAACACTTTGTCCCAAGGGTTGCAGAACTGCGTCATCCTCTCCATCCACTGGGAACACTTTGTCCCAGGGGTTGCAGAACTGTCCCAAAGTGCAGAACTGCCTCATCCCAACCATGCTTTGCAAACACTTTGTCCCAAGGGTTGCCAAATTGTCCCAAGATGCAGAAATGCCTCATCCCCTCCATCCCTTGGGAACACTGTCCCTCAGCTGACACTTCCTAACTCCTCTTACGTCCTTCTCATGCCTGTAAGGTTCAGATCCCCACTCAGTTTTCCCTTTCTGAACCAGTCCCATGTCCACTGACTACATTTTCCTTCTTTCCTTCACACCTCCTGGGCTATTTCACTCTTTCTTGGGGCACACGTGAGTGTGTTGGGGCACAACCCTCATCTCCCATTGTTTGGGAATGCATTCCCATGGATAACACTCTCCTAAACAATGGAAAAGCCATGAGGTGTCTCCATGGCTCTTGGGACATGCACTGCTCAGAGGGCATTTCCAGAGGCAGCTTTGGGTGTCTGTGGATGTCCTTGAGAGATTCCAATAGGAACCCGCTGGTCTGGAGGGTCTGTAGGACTCTGTAACTGGTCTATACTGGGATGGCACCTGCAGGGCTGGGTGATGGGCCCACCACACCTGTCTGGGGGGGTTGGACTGGATCACCTTCAAAAGTCCATTTCAAACCACTCCATGATTCAATCTACTCAGATTCCAACCCTGGATGATGAGGAGACCCTCCCCAGACCCCTGCTCTGCTCCAGAACCTCCATCCCATGGGATGATCCCACAGGGCCATACCATTTTCATCCTCGATCTCCGTGGGGCCGGTGAAGACCCTGTTGGCAACTTTCACTCTTCCCCCTGGCCCGAAAGATGGTGACTACAGGGCTGGGTGATGGGCCCACCACACCTTCTGGGGGAGGTTGGACTGGAAAGTTCATTTCAAACCACTCCATGATTCAATCTACTCAGATTCCAACCCTGGATGATGAGGAGACCCTCCCCAGACCCCTGCTCTGCTCCAGAACCTCCATCCCATGGGATGATCCCACAGGGCCATACCATTTTCATCCTCGATCTCCGTGGGGCCGGTGAAGACCCTGTTGGCAACTTTCACTCTTCCCCCTGGCCCGAAGTGTGGCCCATCCACTTTTCCCTCTTTGCACAGCTTGGACAGGATTTGGGAGGGCTTCATGGGGTCACGCCAGGTGTTGTACCCGTGGCTGGGAACAGGAGGGCAAGATCAGCCAAAAAAGGTTGTGAAGACAAAGAAATATTTTTCCCTTTTGCCAGGAAAAAAAAAAACCAACAAAACCCCACTGCACCATGAAGCACCTAGAATTCCCAGGGAAAGAATTTGAGGCAGCAAAGATGAAACTTCGGCCCCACTGCACCATGAAGCACCGAGGGAAAGAATTTGAGGCAGCAAAGATGAAACTTCAGAGCTGAGTTGATCCCTCTGTGCCCCTTTTGCCAACACCTTCCACCCCCCTTTGGCTCAGACCTGGAATTCCCAGTGCATCCCGCTTGATTCCCGATGCTCGGCATCGCCCCGTTTGCTCTGCTCCCATTTCAGCCCTGACCTCACCCCTCTTCCCACTCCCACCAGTCCTCCCAGTCCCTCCCTCCTCCCCTGGCCTCCTGACAACCCATTCCACCACTCCCTAATGCTGGTGACAAAACCAGGGATAGCACAGGCTCCTCCATTCATCCCTGCCCCTTGCAGGATTGGATGGCATGAGGTTTTTCCCAAAAACATATAATTCTAGGATCACAGGCAGTGAAGGGAAGCAATTCCTGGGGGAGCTCTGGGTGGGAGGTGACACAGAGGAGGGTCCAGGTGTGAGGTGGGGCAGGGGAGGCTTTTCCCATACATGGAGTAGGTCTGGGATACACCGCAGGTTGCCCGGTGCTTGCTGTAGAAGCGATTCTCCAGGTCGATCTTGGTTTCCCCAATGAGGTCGTCAGTGCCCACCAAGTCCCAGTCATACACAGCCACGGTCAGCATGGACTCCATGGGGAAGGTGGCCTCGATGTCGAAGGATCTGGGGTTGGGGGAAGCAAAGAAAAACTGCTGCAGGGTCTATCTGTCACTCAGGACAGAGATGCGTCTGCTCCAGCCCATGGATGGCGTTCAGTCTGCATCCATCACTGCAGCATGCCTGAGGTGGGGTTAAACTCAACCTTTTCAGAACCCAGGACACCCCTCTGGATGCCCTGGATGGCTCAAACCCCTGGCAGGGGTCTCGGGAGTCCTGGCAGGAAGCCAAAGACACTTGGGGTTTCGATCTTAACCCATGGAGCAAGTTACCAACTTTGCATGAAGAATTACAAGTCACAAATTTTAAGTAGCATAATAGTAGTTGTCACAGGGTGAAAAGTAGAATTTTGGAATTTTTAGAACGGGGGTTTGGAGTCCCAAGATGGAGGAATTTGGGTGTTCTCTGTCCTTCTTTCTCCTTCCTAACCTTCATGTTCTGTCACTCTTAGATTGGTTTAGAGTAGAAGTAGACGGTCTAACATAGGCGGTAGATATTGGAAAATAATGGTAAATAAAGTACATGTAACTCGTAGTATAAAAGGTAGACACCACCCCAGGGGCAGGCAATGTGCCCTTGACAGAGCTGCAGATCAGACCTCTGTGGTCTGAGAAAAAAATATTTTAGATAATAGATAATAAACAACCTTGTGAACACGAGCCAAAGAATTCCAACTCTTTCTTTGACTGTCAGGCTGGGAAAAGGGACTCTTGGGTCCTCCCAACAGCAGGAAACCTGAGAAACCACCAGCCCTTGACAGGAAGGAAAATCCTTGACCTGGATGTCCCAACACCCCAGAAGTTGAGTTTGTGTCTTATTCTCACTCAAATTTAGGTCTAATGATTCCTAAGCGGGCGTTTCACCTTGATCAGATAAATTTCAGGTTCATCTCTTAAACACACAATGTTACACTGACCACAGGCTGGCAAAGTAGGACATGCTGGAAGGACATCCACACTGTGGGATAAATCCCATAAATAAAGCTAAATAATAAAGCTAAATAAATAAAGATAAATCCAGCTCAAGGAGCAGCCGTGGGACACCTCAGCTGCAGGTCTGAGGGCTGGCAAGCTCGGGCCCAGCTCGGCAGTTCCAGGCGCAGACTTACTTCCCAAAAACAGGGTTCAGCTGCTTGGAGATGTAGTTCTCCTTGTCCTTGATGTCCGTCTTGCCCAGCTTGATGGCGATGTAGGGATCGGCTTTCCCGTTGATGTCAGCCGGGTGCAGGTCCGTGGCCTGCAGGGAACAGGTGGGATGGGTCAGCGCTGTCCACAGCAGCCAAGGATTCAGGGATGGGCCCGTTCTCCATCCCTGATGATGGGTTTCTCTTTGAGCCAGGTCTTTTGAGCTCTCAGAGAACCCATCGCACCTGAGATAGCTCAGCTACCCTGAACAGCATGAAATTAGCAGGATGGCTTCTGGGGTAGTGTTGGAAACAGAAAAAGGTTCAATAAAAGGCAAAATAACAAAGCTCTTTCAGAGAAAAACCCGAGCAAGGGGCAAGAGGTTCTTGTTCCTGTTAAAACACCCCACAAAAGTGATTATTTCCTTTGTTCTCTTCTTTTTCTAGTGAATTACCTAGGTGGGACCTCTTGGCCTCTGCCCAATCGGACAGCCCCAGGTCTGAGGTGAAGTCCAAAAGGTCCTATGAGGTGTCTTTGTACCTAAATTGGGAGAGAAACTTCTGGGCTTTTTTCCTTTTTAAGCAGACAAAGGATAATTTGGTCACTCCGTCAACAGGAGGCACATTCCTACACCCTGAGAACACCCAGTCACTTCGGCCCCTAAACAGAGTGTCTTGGATTGAAAAGGGGGTGAAATAGGGTGTCTTGGATTGAAATGGGGACATTACTGCCTCATGTAAATCCCTGTCCTCGTTTAGGGAGAGGTTGGAACTGGCTTTGTCCTGAGATGTTAGCACAGGGATCTTTGGAATTTCAGCAGAGGCAGGAAAAAGACTCTCAGGAAACAACAGGTGGGATGGGTCAGCGCTGTCCACAGCAGCCAAGGATTCAGGGATGGGCCCGTTCTCCATCCCTGATGATGGGTTTCTCTTTGAGCCAGGTCTTTTGAGCTCTCAGAGAACCCATCACACCTGAGATAGCTCAGCTACCCCTAACGGCATAAAACTAGCAGGATGGCATCTGAGGTAGTGTTGGAAACAGAAAAAGGTTCAATAAAAGGCAAAATAACAAAGCTCTTTCAGAGAAAAACCTGAGCCAGGGGCAAGAGGTTTATTCTCCTTCTAAACACTCTACAAAAGTGATTATTTCCTTTGTTCTCTTCTGTTTCTAGTGAATTACCTAGGTGGGACCTCTTGGCCTCTGTCCAATTGGACAGCCCCAGGTCTGAGGTGAAGTCCAAAAGGTCCTATGAGGTGTCTTTGTACCTAAATTGGGGAAAAACTCCTGGGCTTTTTTTCCTTTTTAAGCAGACAAAGGATAATTTGGTCACTCCGTCAACAGGAGGCACATTCCTACACCCTGAGAACACCCAGTCACTTCGGCCCCTAAACAGAGTGTCTTGGATTGAAAAGGGGGTGAAATAGGGTGTCTTGGATTGAAATGGGGACATTACTGCCTCATGTAAATCCCTGTCCTAGTTTAGGGAGAGGTTGGAACTGGCTTTGTCCTGAGATGTTAGCACAGGGATCTTTGGAATTTCAGCAGAGGCAGGAAAAAGACTCTCAGGAAACACCCCCAGCAAGAACCTGGCCAAGATGCTGAGACATCCATCCCCTTCCCCTCGTGTCCTCTCCATGCTGGATTCTCCCCAGAGAGGGGGTGAAGAACCCCAAACTCTCCAGTCCCATCTCCACGCATGGCACAGCAGCAGATGAGAACACATCCACCCAGTCCTGGCTGGTTTTGGGGCTGACCAAGCTGGTGTCTGCTATTCCAGCCTGGTGATGGATGGGAGACTCCGTATCCCAGCGGGAAGAAGCTCTGGATGGAGAACCAGGCTGGTGGGAAACGGAGTCAAAAGTAGGTTCTGTTTGTAACACACTGGGACAAGGTGGTGGCAAAGGGCAGCCCAGGTGCTTCCAGTGGGATGGAGATCCCTCCCAAGTGCCTGGCTGCTGAATCCCACCCTTGGGGACAGGGGGATGACCAGTTCAGGGGTCAGGAAGTGACTTTTCCCAGAGCACATTCCATATATAAACAAAAAATGCATTGGCTGGATCACGTCAATGATCACGGAACGCGTGTTCAAGGAGGTGCCATGTCCTTCAGAAGGATCTCCTCAGTCCTGTCAGATCCCATTCCACCCTTTTTCTCCCATTCTCTCCCATCCCAAACCATCACTGGGATGGTGGCATGGCTGTGGAATGAACCAACACCTCACAGTAGAGGTCGATCCAAACTATCCATGGCAATTGAGCACCAGGACACACCGGTCCATCCCACCTCCTGGAGAGGCATCTCTGGATCTGGCAGGAGCTTGGATCTGTCCTGTTCCCAGTGCTGGGAGCACACAGCCCTGGAGACAGCGTTGGGTCTGGATATCCTTGGGATAGTAGGAGCTGTCCCTGCCCACAGCAGGGAGTGGAGTGGGATGGACTTTAAGGTCCCTTCCCACCCAAACCATTCCATAACCAAGGAGCTGCTTCAGTCCTCAAGCTGCATCCTGGGTCCTGAAGCACTGGTGATGCCTCAGGTTTTAGATTTTCTATTTTTCAGATTCTGTGCTGCTTTGGTGTGTGGGTCTGGGCTTCATATTAGGGGATGGTGAGCTCTCTGCACAGAGCAGGGAGACAAAACAATTCCTGCTCCAGCTGGGGACCAAGGACAAATGATCCAAATCTCAGCCCCAAGAGCACAAACAACATGAGCTGAAGAGAGAAAAACAAGAAGGATGGGACTGCATGGGCTAAAGCTGTAACTGGATAATTAAATCCAATATGCAAATGGAGCAGAGCTGATCACAGTGAGAGACCCTGTGAATGCTTGTGCATTTTGGGACCATTTGGGTTCATTTTGGGTGCAGCCCTGGCTGGGCTCTTGTGCTGCCCAAGGTGGATCCATGGAGGAGATCCTTTTCATAAACCCCTGCTTTATTCTTTAGCTCTGTCCAGCCTCTCAAGGCACCAGTCCTGGAGCGCTGGAGCTGAATCCCACCATCCCTACGGCACCAGGACCAGCTCCGGGTGGAAGGGAGTGCCAGATCCCACCTGACACATCCCAAATTCCCACTCACCCGCACGATGTAGACTCGGACCAGCACGTTGATGGGGTCGTTGCTGGGGATCCCCTGGAACATCCCGAAGGTGGGGTCATACCCTGCCTCCTTGCTGATGTCGTCGGGGAGCGGCACTTTGTAGACGCACATGGAGCCCTGGTGTGAGGGAGGGCAAAGCCCAACTGAGTCCTGCTGCTCAGGGCCTTCATGGAGGCAAACCCATCCCAAAACAACCTCCCCAAAATCCCAGCTGGCATTCCTAACCACTCACCTTGAACCTGCCCACTATCCGCTCCTCCTCCGTGGCGTTGTCATCATTGTCCCCAATCTTCCCCCGGAGCAGGTTGAAAGTGTGCAGCCAGTCCTCAAAGTTGTCAAACTCTGTTTCCAGCTCTTTGTTGAAGACCTGAGGTGGGAAAAAAGTTAAAAGGAAGGAATTTGGGAAAAAAAAAAGGTGAGCAAAAGATGTGGGGAGTACTCAATTAGCTCAGAAGGAACAAGGGACGGGACAAGAGGAAATGGCCTCAAGCTGTGCCAGGGAGGTTCAGATTGGATATTGGGAATAATTTCCCCATGGAAAAGGTGGTTAGGCTTTGGAAGGGGCTGCCAGGGAGGTTTGGAGTGCCCACGCCTGGAGGTGTCCAGGGAAGGCCTGGGTGTGGCACTGAGTGCCCTGGGCTGGGGACAAGGTGGGGATCAGGCACATCTTGGACTGGATGGTCTAGGAGGTCTTTTCCAGCCTCAGTGATCCTGGGATTCTGTGAACATGGACACCTCAGCTCCCAGTGGTTAATTTTTCTAGGAAGGAGAAAGATCTCTAGCATTATTGGGTTGGAAAGAGGGAATCTTGGAGCAATGGGTGAGGCCATTGTTCCTGCTCTGTGCAAAATCCAGGTCTAAACCCCATCTGAACCCCAGAACCACAGGCGACATGAATCCTGAGAAATCCTTGGGATTGTTGAACCAGAGCCCACCCCTGTCCTGAATCCTGGCTGGGCCAGTAGGAAAACTCTCCCTTGGAGCTGGGACACCTCCAAGCTGCCCCAGGGATGAGCCTATCCCAGGAAAATCCCTTTTCTCGTGACCTCCAGCTATAGAGAGAGGCTGGGAAGCCTCATCCCAAGATAAATGCCTAGGAGAGATGTCCCAAGGCACATCATCCCCACAACTAGGTACTTCCTCAGAAGCACCCCGGTACCTTGAGTTCATCAATCTTCTGCTTGTTTTTCTTCTCAGGGAGTTCAGGGACAGGCTGTTGCTTCTTTTTCTTGTCATCTTTGGGTGCCTTGGTCTTGTCCTTGTCCTTGTCCTTGTTCTTCACCTGGGCCTTGGAGCCTTTAATGGGAGAGTCACCAAGTTTGGTGTCACTCCGAGTACAGGGGCGGAGCAGCGCGGAGGGAGGAGATGGAGAGGAGGGAGGGAAGGAGGGAATGGAAATGAGGGTGAGGAGAGATGGGGCAGATCTGGAAGGGCTTGGACAAAGAAGAGAAGCATGAAACCAGGGGCGGAGAAGCGCGGAGGGAGGAGATGGAGAGGAGGAAGGGAGGGAATGGAAATGAGAGTGAGGAGAGATGGGGCAGATCTGGAAGGGCTTGGACAAAGAAGAGAAGCATGAAATCTGCCAGCTGCTGCTGCCTGCAAGTCCCATCCCAGCCCCACCCTCTCTTTCCTTGGCTCTGGATCTCAGTGTGTCCAGCAGCCCGGAGATCTCTGTGCAGGGAATTCCAGGGCTGATCTGAGCAGGAATCACTTGGATGACTACAAAACATGGACAGAGCCCTCTGACAGCGGTGAGAAAACCTGGTCCTGCCCACGGCAGGAATGGTGTGGCCAGCAGGAGCAGTGAGATCATTCTGCCCCTGTACCTGGCACTGGTGGGGTCACACCTCGAGTGCTGTGTCCAGCTCTGGCCCCTCAGTTTGGGAAGGACTTTGAGGACCTGGGGAGTGTCCAGAGGAGGCAATGAGGCTGGAGAGGGGCTGGGAACACAAACCCTGTGAGGAACCACTGAGGGAGCTGGGGATGCTCAGCCTGGAGAAAAGGAGACTCAGGGTTGACCTTATCACCCTCTCCACCTCTGAAAGGTGGCTGTGCTCAGCTGGGCTGGGCTCTTTCTCCAGGAACTGACAGAACCAGAGCACACAGCCTTGAGCTGCACCAAGGGAAATTTAGGCTGGATATTAGGAAGAAGGTTTTCACAGAAAGAGTGATAAAGTTCTGGAATGCTCTGCCTGGGGAGGTGCTGCAGTCCCCATCCCTGGGGGTGTTTAACAAAGCCTGGATGTGGCACTGGGGCCAAGATTGAGTTGAGGTGTTGGGGATGGGTTGGACTTGATGATCTTGAAGGTCTCTTCCAACCCAGTGATTCTGCGAGTTCTGGGAATTTGGAGAATTTTGGAAAATCCCAGGAACCAGGGAGGTGTTGGAGTCACCATCCCTGGGTGTGTTTGAAAAAGTCTGGATGTGGCACTGGGTGCCGGGGTTTAGCTGAGATGTTGGGGCTGTGTTGGACTTGATAATCTTGGAGATCTCTTCCAACCTGGTCATTCTTGGAATTCTGGGAATTCTGTGTATTTTCTTCCTCCTGCCAGAGACTTCTCCTGCTTTATGGAGCCTGGGGAGGGGAACCTCAGCCTGGGAATACAGAGGGGACAGTGTTTGATGCTGCTGCCCTCAGATTGTCCAGGATTAGCTGCAACCACAAGTCACCAGAGTCTCATTTGGGGCAACCACCAGCCACGGAGATCTGGGAAGAGGCTGCTGGAAAAGGTGGATTCAAAGGAAACTCCTCCCTGCTCTGCAGTCTCTGTCCCTTGGTGCCTCTGCCAGCTTTCATGAGGGTTGGACATTATCTAGTGATGGGGACAGACAGAGAGATGGAAAAACATGGATGAGGCAAGGGGAAAGGAGTGGAGAGCCAAGGGAAATAGATCATTCTAAAAAGAAATAAAACCACACAGGGCACCAGTGCAAGCCCGGAAGAACCTGCTCAGAGTTATCTCCAAGCTCAGCAAGACAAGACCACATTTTTCCCGGGATACAAAAATTGATCTTCCAAAAGAAACCATGCTCAGAATTTTACTCAGCTGAAGGGTTTTGCATCACCTGGGCACAACAACAGCCCCCTGTCATGGGGACATGGACAGCAAGGGTGGAATTCCTCAGGGATACCCTTCCGAGTCCTGCTGGTGGCGTGGCCATATGGACAAAGTCACCCTTGTCCAACCACTCCCAGAATTCTTGGTTGGCATAATTTCTGGGACGAAATTAGTCTCCCCCAAATTTAGGTAAGGTCAGAAGCCCACCTGACCTATAGACCCAACTTCCTTCAGAGAAAAACACATTTAGGGCATCATTCATCTCATAATTTTATAAAATTATTGTAAGTGAAAAATAATATATAATGCGTAAAATTATATAAATTGATAAATTAGGTGAGAGAACAAAATTACATAAATTGATAAATTAGGTAAGAGAACTTGCCTAGATTGTGTATTTGTCTTCACTGCCCACATTAGGACACCAGACAAAATGTTCAACATGGAGGGAAAAACCCTGCAAAAACCCACAAAAATTGACCCTTTTTGGGAAAACACAACACGCCGGGAGTGTCTGGTTTGGCTGGAGAGCCGTGGCAGATTCCCAAAGGGATGTCCAAGCACCAAGAGGGATCCTGGTCCCACCTTTCCCTGCTGTGTTCCCTCTCTCCCTCCCAGCCTTACCTTCTCCAATCTCCATCTCCTCCTTCTCCTCTGCTTCTGCCGCGGCCGCTTCCTGCTGCCGCAGTTGCTGGGGGAAAAAGGAAACAACTGGATATTAGGAAAAATCTTTTCCTGGAAAAGCTGTCCCAGGCAGTGGTGGAGTTCCTATCCCTAGAGGGATTTGAAGCCACATGGATGTGGCACTTGGGGACATAGTGGTGGCCTTGGCAGTGCCAGGAAATGGTCGGACTCGATGGTCTCCAAGGGCTTTTCCAGCCTGAACAATTTTGGGATTCCACAATTTCTGGAACCCAGGACACAGGGAATGTTTCTCTGCCTGTCCTGAGAACACCGCTTTTAATCTTCATCCATGGAGAAATTTCCAAGATTTCGGGATAAATTGGAATCTACGAGTGTGTGAAATAGATAGTAGTGTAGTTTATCACAGGATAAAAAACTTGGGTTTTGGGTTTTTAGTATGGAGATAGATAGAAGACAGGATGGAGAATTTTGGGTGTTGTCTGATCTCCTTCCTGTTCTTCATCCGCTCCAGTTTCTGCAGTGTTGGTGGCAAAGAGGGATTGGTTAGAAAAAAATGCAATGCAGGTATTTCATGGACAGACAAATAATTAGTTATTGGTAGAAAGGTAGAAATAAAATATGGTCTAAGAGTTAAGTGGACAAAATAGCTTTAAAAGACCTTGAACCCGTGTGTTTTGTGACTTTTGGTGCCCTCTATAAAATAGGTTCTAAGCGTTAATTGGACAAAATAGCTTTAAAAGACCTTGAACCCGTGTGTTTTGTGACTTTTGGTGCCCTCTCTTTGTACGCTGAGATTTTTTTTTTAACTTTTGATAAGACAAAAATAAACAACAACCTGAAGACCGAAAAGAACCAAAAGTCCATTTGTCTCTCAATCCCACCAGGGGGATCCTCAGGAGGGAGGGTTTCCACACATAAAGAAGCCCAGCCCCAAGGAGATGGAGTTAGGGGAGACCTCTCAGGAAGGGAACCATCCCCCCTGGATACCCCTCCCTGCTGCTCCTCACCCACCTCCTTCATCGTCTCAATGGAAGCGAAGTACTTGGACCACCAGTCCAACATGCTCTCGTCTGGCTCCTCCTCCTCCACTTCCTCCCCACCTCCACCTCCTCCTCCTCCTCCTCCTTTCTTCTTCTTCTTCTTCATTTGTCTCTCAATCCTGGCACAGAACTTTTGAGGGCTCTCCCCACCAGGGGGGTCCTCAGGAGGGAGGGTTTCCACACATAAAGAAGCCCAGCCCCAAGGTTTTGGAAGGAGCTGGAGTTAGGGGAGACCTCTCAGGAAGGGAACCATCCCCCCTGGATACCCCTCCCTGCTGCTCCTCACCCACCTCCTTCATCGTCTCAATGGAAGCGAAGTACTTGGACCACCAGTCCAACATGCTCTCGTCTGGCTCCTCCTCCTCCACTTCCTCCCCACCTCCACCTCCTCCTCCTCCTCCTCCTTTCTTCTTCTTCTTCTTTTTCTCCTTCTCTTCCTCGGTCTGAAGGGAAAAGGCAAGCACAGACAGGCAAGGGGAGGGATCAGGTGAGAGGGAATCATTTCTGGAAGTACAAAAATGAAGCCCCAGGCTTGGGAGCCTCATGAACTTTCTCCCTTTTACAGCCACAGAACACCCAAGGGTGACCAAGGTTTTGGAGAAAGTGCCAGAATCACGGAATGGTTTGGGTGGGAAGGGACCTTAAAGCTCATCCAATTCCAATCCTCACACCTTTCACCATTCCAGGTTGTTCCAAGCCCCATCTAACCTGGCTTTGGACACTTACAGAGATGGGGCAGTCCCACAACACCTCCCCACTTCCATCATCCTATTTATCCATGCATTTCCCAGGCTACATCTCTGGAAACTTCCATGGCAAGAGTCAAACTGTGCCCAGCAAAGCACCTTGGGTCCCCTTGGTGGAGCAAGGGAACCTTTCCCAGCTGGTACCTGGTTGTGGTGGGAATACTCAAATCCCTCCCACAGGGCACTGCCTGTCCTGGGACAGCTGGGATGAGAAGCCCTGGGACAGCTGGAATGAGAATTCCTGGCCCAGAAGAGCTCCCCAAACTGCAGGGATGAGGCCACTGCCACATCCCTTGAGGGGACAGCGCTGCTGTGTCTCTGTCGTGAGACAGAGGGGTGATGTCCCTGCCTGGCTCAGTCTGGGGAGGGTGCCTGGTCCATCAGAAGTGTCACTGAAGAGGGAGCAGGGGGTTGGGAGCAGGGGTGCAGAGAAGATCCACCACTTACCACATCCACCTTCACCACTGCATCAGAATTCTGCCGCCCGGGATGGAAGGGAACAGGGAGAGGGAGAGCAGGTTAAGGACACAGCCTCAGCTGAGTGCAAATCATCAGTCCCGGGGTGGTTTGGGTGGGAAGGAACCTTAAAGCTCATCTCATTCCACCCCTTGCCATGGGAAAGAAAACTTACACTCTCCCAGCCCCATCCAACCTGGCTTTGGGCACTTCCAGGGATCCAGGGGCAGCCACAGCTGCTCTGGGAATTCCAGCCCAGCCCCTCCCAACCTCCCAGGGACTCTCCCAGAGTGCTCCCAGCCCCATCCAACCTGGCTTTGGGCACTCCCAGGGATCCAGGGGCAGCCACAGCTGCTCTGGGAATTCCAGCCCAGCCCCTCCCAACCTCCCAGGGAACAATTCCTCATTGCCAATCTCCCACCCAGAGGAAGCTCTGGAGCAGAAGTGTGGGAAAAAGAGTTGAAATTCCCATTCTGGGCACAAAAACGGGCACAGGCACATTGAGTGTGACACCCCTGGGACACGCTGCCTCCCCAATTCTGGGTGAAATCCCACAGAAATTGGCAATTCCATGAGGAAGGAGGTGCTGCCACATGGACACTCACAGCTTCCAGCTTCACCATCGTGTCCATCTTCTTGATGGGGACCTCGGGCTCCATGTTGACCACGATCTCCCCTGTGGGGCGAGAACGATGGGCCCTGCTGGTCATGGCCAGGTAGCCGTTTAGGTGTTTGGCTGGAGAGAGGACAGAAAAGGAGAAAGAACAAGGGAGAGGGACAGTGGAGAGGAGAAACCGACAGTTCAGTTGAGATCCTACAGGATTCAGGCCAGAAAGTGAGAGTTCGGATGAAATCCTACAGGATTTAAGCCAGAAACTGAGAGTTCAAGTGAGATCCTACAGGATTCAGGCCAGAAACTGAGTTCAGTTGAGATCCTACAAAATTCAGGCTAGAAACCAAGATTTAAACTGAGATCCTACAGGATTCCAGCTGGGAACTAAGATTTAAAGTGAGATCCTACAGGATTCAGGCTGGGAACTGAGATTTCAAGTGAGATCCTACAGGATTCAGACCAGAAACTGAGAGTTCATGTGAGTTCCTACAGGATTCAGGCTGGGAATCAAGATTTAAAGTGAGATTCTGCAGTATTCAGGCCAGAAACTGAGAGTTCAGGTGAGATCCCACAGAATTTGGGCCGGAGCACAGTGGGACCACCTTGTTTGGAGCAGTGTTTTAGGGATTAGGAATTGGGATCCTGCTGGGAAGGGCAGTAGGGATTAGGAATAGGATCATACTGGGAAAACCAGTAGGGACCAGAACTGGGATCATGCTGAGAAGGGCAGTGGGGTCATACTGGGAGTGGGATCATACTGGGAATGGCAGGAGGGATTAGGAATGGAATCATGCTGGGAAGAGGAGTAGGGATTAGAAAGAGAATCATGCTGGGAAGAAAAGATTAGGAATGAGATCATGCTGGAAAGAGCAGCAGGGGTTAGGAATGGGATGATGCTGGGGAGGAGGGATTAGGAATGGGATGATGCTGGGAAGGCTGGTAGGGATTAGGAATGGGATCATGCTGGGACAGGCAGTAGGGATTAGGAATGGGATCATGCTGGGAAGGGCAGTAGGGATTAGGAATGAGATCATGCTGGGAAGGGCAGTAGGGATTAGGAATGGGATCATGCTGGGAAGGACAGCAGGGACCAGACATATCCTTGGGAATCTCGCCCAGCCTCCAGCCCCAAAACTGAGAGGACAGGAGTAATTCCCAAGGCTCCCAAGCCCTCAGCTGCTGTGATGGGTGGGAAGCGGGTCTGGGATGGATTTTCCTGTGGACACTGATGGATTGGGGTGGTTGGGATCGAGAGGGGCCTGGACCTCTGCTCTTTACAGGCACCACGGGGACTGAGTGTGTCCACATCCTGTCCCTGTCCCGAGGAACATCTGGGGACTCGAGTCCTGAAGCTGCAGAGATGTTGGAGGTCAACCTTGTTGGAGCTTAAGGAATAGGGAATTTTTTTTTCTTTTATTTTCTTTTTTTTTTTGTTTTGTTTTTTGTTTTTGTTTTGTTTTGTTTTGAGAAGTTTTGACTTTTAGGAGAATGTTTTTGATCTTTGTTTATGGAGAAAGTTTCAAAGACTTTGGGATTAATTAGAATTTATGAGTGCGTAAAATGGATAGTAAGAATTTATAGGTGTGTAAAATAGCTTATTATAGGGTGAAAAACTTAGAGTTTTGGGTTTTTAGTATGGAGGTGGGTAGGAGATAAGATGATGGATTTTGGGTGTTGTTTGATCTGGTTTTTGTTTTTAATTTATTCTATTTTTTATAGTGTTGGGAGTATAAAGTAATTGGTTAGAAAGAATCACAATGTAGATGTTGTGTAGATAACAAATAATTATTGGTAGAAAGGTAGAAATAAATTACATTTTAAGATTTAATTAAATAAAATAGTTTCAAAATATTTAAAATTTGTGTGGTTTGTAAATTTTAGTGGTGTTTTCTTAATATGCTAAGATGTAAATAGTATATATAAATATATAGTGTATAGATAAAGAGATATATACATATAAGTAGATATATATAGTGTATATATAAGTAGTGTATAGAATTTTTAATTAGAGAAAAATAAACAATAATTTGAAGATCAAAAAACTAAAAGTCCTATTTTCTTTTCACTTTTACTACAAAATTTTTTAGTGGTCTCCTCACACCACTTGGAACCACCAAAGTGCTGAAGTTAGGGGTTTTTGTGGCGCTCTGGACCCAAAACCAGAATTTCCGCAGGTTAGCCGACCATCTCACGGTCTCACAGCCCATCCCACCTCCCTCCTGTCCCCGCGGATGTCCCAGACGGGGTCCCCGTGTGCCAGTCCTGGTACCTGCCATGTTCCAGTGCTGGGCTTTCTTGTCGGGCGGGCGGTAGATGAACTTGCGGAGCGAGCTGACGGTGTGGGAGCCCACCAGGGTGTAGCGGCCGAAGGCGCGGCAGTCCACCACGCGGATGTTCAGGGGCGGGTGCAGCAGCTCGTTCTCTGGGAGGTCCTGGGGAGCAGCGCAGGGAGGGTCACTGAGGGCTGGGAGTGGATGGTTTGGGGATGGGAAGGGCAGGAGGGGTTGGGAATGGGATTGTATTGGGAAGGAAAGTAGGGATTAGGAATGGGATCATGCTGGGAAGGGCAGCAGGGATTAGGAGTGGGATTAGAATGGGAAGGACAGCAGGGATTAGGAATGGGATCATGATGGGGAGTAGGGATATGGAATGAGATCATGCTAGGAAGGGCAATAGGGATTAGGAACAGGATCATGCTAGGAAGTAGGGATTAGGAATGAGATCATGCTGGAGAGGAGGGATTAGGAATGGGATCATACTGGGGAGTAGAGATTTGGAATGAGATCATGCTAGGAAGGGCAGTAGGGATTAGGAACGGGATCATGCTGGGAAGCAGGGATTAGGAATGGGATAATACTGGGAAGAAGGGTTTAGGAATGGGATCATACTGGGGAGTAGGGATTTGGAAAGGGATCATGCTAGGAAGGCTGGTAGGGATTAGGAATGGGATCATGCTGGGAGGGGCAGCAGGGATTAGGAATGGGATCATACTGGGAAGGGCAGGAGGAATTAAGAAGGGGATCATGTTGGGAAGAGCAGTAGGGATTAGGAATGGGATCATGCTGGGGAGTAGGGATTTGGAATGACATCATGCTAGGAAGGGCAGTAGGGATTAGGAATGGGATCATGCTGGGAAGGCCAGTAGGGATTAGGAATGGGATCATGCTGTGGAGAAGGGGTTAGGAATGGGATCATGCTAGGAAGGCTGGTAGGGATTAGGAATGGGATCATTCTGGGGAGTAGGGATTAGGAATGGGATCATGCTGGGAGGGGCAGCAGGGATTAGGAATGGGATCATACTGGGAAGGGCAGGAGGAATTAAGAAGGGGATCATGTTGGGAAGAGCAGTAGGGATTAGGAATGGGATCATGCTGGGGAGAAGGGATAGCAATGGGATCATGCTGGGAAGGGCAGGAGGGATTAGGAATGGGATCATGCTGGGAAGGCCAGTAGGGATTAGGAATGTATCATGCTGGAAAGGGAAGTAGGGATTAGGAATGGGATCATGCTAGGGCGAAGGGATAGGAATGGGATCATACTGGGGAGTAGGGATTAGGAATGGAATGATGCTGGGAAAACCAGAAGTGGGATCATGCTGGAGGAAGAATTCCAGAGCTTCTCCAGTAAATCGTGGCTGTGATCAGGGAAAATACAGGAACAGGACTTAAATTGATGGGCAGCATTTGGGGATTAGGAATGGGATCATGCTGGGAAGGCCAGTAGGGATTAGGAATGGGATCATGCTGTGGAGAAGGGGTTAGGAATGGGATCATGCTAGGAAGGCTGGTAGGGATTAGGAATGGGATCATGCTAGGGCGAAGGGATAGGAATGGGATCATACTGGGGAGTAGGGATTAGGAATGGAATGATGCTGGGAAAACCAGAAGTGGGATCATGCTGGAGGAAGAATTCCAGAGCTTCTCCAGTAAATCGTGGTTTGGGAGCCCTCAGGTGATCTGGGGAGTAGGGATTAGGAATGGGATCATGCTGGGAAGGGCAGTAGGGATTAGGAATGTGATCCTGCTGGAGAGGGCAGTAGGGACTGGAATTGGGATCATGCTGGGAAGGCTGGTAGGGATTAGGAACGGGAACATGCTGGGAAGTAGAGATTAGGAATGGGATTATGCTGGGGAGTAGGGATTAGGAATGGAATCCTGCTGGATAGGGCAGTAGGGATTAGGAATGGGATCATGCTGGGAAGACCAGAAGTGGGATCATGCTGGAGGAAGAATTCCAGAACTTCTCCAGTAAATCATGGTTTGGGAGCCCTCAGGTGAAGGAATGGTGTCTGTGCACTCCATTGCTTTGGGAAAACTGGAGTAAAGGGCTTGGAGCCCTGGTGGGCTCCAGAAATTCTGGGCTCCAGCTGAGGGATCAGAGGGATTGGGCCACACTCACCACCTCGAACCACTTGACCAAAGTGCTGAAGTTGGGGTTTTTCTTGTAGTTCTGGATCAGGGCAGACTGGACGCCCTTCCCGGCACACTCGATGTCCACGCGGGGCCGGTCCACCTGGGCCAGGTTCACTCTCTTCAGGTCCCTGAGCCCCCAGAACAAGATCTAGGGCAGGAGGAGGAGGAGGGAGCATGTGAATGTGAGAGGGATGATCCCTAGGAGCTGGATCTCCAAGGAGAGGGATCCCACTGCTGATGTCATCACAGGACAATGGTGGATCCCTGAGGTGTCTCCTCCTGGCACCCTGCAGCCCAAGGTCTCCAGCCTGCTGCCGGTGACATTTTCCTGCCTTTCTCCCTTCCTGGCCTTTTCCTGCCCTGGGAATCCTGCTCTGTCCATTTGTGGTGGCTCTGGATCCAGCACTGCCATTGTTTTGTCCCAATGGAATCAGTGTCACTGGGGAAACTTCCCTGACTCAGCCTGGGATAACAGAGTGCCACCATCCAAAATTCCCCAAAACGGAGATTTTTCCCCACCTCCTCATTCCCCACGGCTGTATTAAAATTGTGAGGAACATTTATTATGATGCAAATGTTTGGAAAACCAGGAGCCAAAATCCCGTTGGGGACCTGGTCAGTGGCACCTCACCTGAGCAGAGACACCTTCACCCAGGGCTGAGATGTGCCCTGAACATCCCTGTGGGCATTGCCTGGGTCATGGATGTCCACCAGGACCTCCAAGGGACACATCACAAAACCATGGAATCATTTGGAAAAGTCCTCCAGGATCATCGAGTCCAACCAGTGACCAGTCCCTACCTTGTCCCCAGCACAGAGCACTGAGTGCCACATCCAGAGCCCAACCTCCCTGGCTGTCCCCTCCTGTCAGGGAGTCCAGGTCTCTCCTGGCAGGAGGGGCCCAGAGCTGCCCCCAGCACTGGAGGTGCCCCAGCAGTGCCAGCACAGGGGACGGGCACTGCCCTGGGTTGTGCCCACAGTATTTTGGATACAAAATCCCCCTTTAGATATCCCTGGATATATGAGAGTCTTCCCATCTTCATTGACTGAGGCTGATAGGATACAGAACCCCAGAGCTATGAGATTGCTTTGGGAACAGATGATCCAGCTCCATGTCCATCTCTAACATTCCCTGAACTGCATCTCAGCCCAAGTGCTGTTCACTCGCTGTCCTGCCCAGGTTTGACAGCAAGGAATGATCCAATTCCCTGGGTTTTTTTAGGGATTCTGCAGCCTGGTTCCCAGTCCGGCCACCACGGACAGATCCTTGACTCCCAGCTCCCTCCTGCCCTTCCAACACCCTTGGAGATGCTCTCCTGCTCCAGGCAGGACGTTTGTTACCTCCACTCTGTATCTGCTCAGCACCGGCCGAATTCCCAGAGGCACGGGCAGGATGGGACCTCGGTCCATGTCCGTGGGGCCGTCGATGGGGGGCAGGTCTGATTTACCCCCAGGGCCGATCTGGAAGAGGTGGATCATGGATTAGCATCTGCTCCTCTGAGCTGCTGGGAAGCAGTTTTTGGTCCTTCTCACGGAATTGTGGAATCACAGATTGGGTTTGGGTTGGAAGGGACCTCAAAGATCAGCTCATTCCAACCCCTGCCATGAGCAGGGACAAATTCCAGAGGGAGCTGGGCTGTGTCTCAGCTGGAACTGGTCCCATTTGTTGGAGCTGGGGTCTCTCAGAGGGCTGAGAGCTCAGGACAGGTGCTTTGGGAAGAGGAAAACACAGGAGCATAAGATGCTGGGAATTCCACAAAGAACAGTCCCCAGAGCAATCCAAACTTCTCAGCTCATCAATGCAGCCCATCCCAGGACTGTTCCATTCTGGAATTGCACTTGCTGGGCTGTGTGTGAGGAAACTGAGTTTTGTGGTCACAAAGCTCAGCCTAGGAGCAGGTTTAAGGTGCCATTTTCAGCCCAGGGGTCAGTAAAGATCAAATATCCCATGTGAGCCATTCCCTCAGTCCAAGGAAAATTGGGAGAAAAAGAGCTCGATGAACACCTGCCCTGGCAGAGAGAGGAGATAGGAAAAGCATTTCAGCAGATAGAGCACGAGGCACAAAAGTGGAAGAATTTAACTCTGGTACAGCCATATTATGAATCATGGAATGGTTTGGGTTGAGAGGGACTCTAAAGACCATTGAATCCCAACCCCTTGCCATGGCCAGGGACCCCTTCCACCTTTCCAGGCTGCTCCAAGCCCCATCCCACCTGGCCTTGGACCCTTCCAGGTGTCTTTGATGAGCAAGTGGTTGATCCATCCAAGAGAAACAACAAAGGTCCAGCAGACCAATGACCAGGTGAAGGGGCAGTTATTCCTGATTGTTCCCTGTTACCCAATTCTCCATAAATTAATCCCCTCTCCCTTCCAACCCTGCATCCATCCTTCCCACCCCTTTGTCCAGCTGGCACCTGGAGCAGCTCGAAGGCGGCCAGCAGGTCCCCGGCTGTGGCGTTGCCGCGGTAGATCTGGTAATATTCCAGCTGTGGCGGGAAGCGCGGCGGGCAGTACTGCTCGTCCGACATCTTCACCACTGGCTTGGCGAACGTCCGGCCCATGAAGTCGGCTTTTCCCTACGGAAAGAGCACTTGGGGTTGGGGATCCAACATGGGAATTACAAATTTAGCCCCGTGGTTCTCCTCAAGAGCACTTGGGGTTGGGGATCCAACACAGGAATTCCAAGACAAACCCTGTGATTTTCCCCAGGAGCACTTGGGGTTGGGGATCCAACACAGGAATTCCAAAATTAGCCCTGTGGTTCTCCCCAGGAGCACTTGGAGTTGGGGATCCCACATAGGAATTCCAAAATTAGCCCTGTGGTGGTTTTCTCCAGAAGCACTTGGGGTTGGGGATCCCACATAGGAATTCCAAAATTAGCCCCCTGGTTCTCCACAGGAACATTTGAGGTTCGAGATCCAACATGGGAATTCCAAAATTAGCCCCATGGGTCTCCTCCAGAGCACTTGAGGTTGGGGATCCAACATAAGAATTACAAAATTAGCCCTGTGGTTCTTTCCAGGAGAACTTGGGATTTGGGTTCCAACATGAGAATTCCAAATTGAGCCCCGTGGTTCTCCCCAAGAGCCCTTGGGATTGGGGATCCAGCCCAGGAATTCCAAATTTAGCCCTGTGAATCTCCCCAGGAGCCCTTGGGGTTGGAGATCCAACATGGATATTCCAAATTTAGTCCCGTGGTTCTTCCCACCGTGGTCAGAACAGGAGTGGGATTGGTGCTCTGGCCTTGGGATGACAAAGCTCTGGGAAAACTCAGTCCTGACTCCTTGGAGGAGGTTTGGGACAGCTGAAGGCTGGGACAGCAAGGAGGCGAGGGATAAGCGGTTTTCCCAAATGGAAACACTCCTTGGTTACAGCCTCTTTCTTCCCTGTCCAAAAATAAGATACAACTGAGATTTATGAGCGGCAGAGGCTCCGTGGGAGATTTGGAAGGACCATTTTCTAAGGATCAGGAAAAAAAGCTCCCCAAATCCTCTGCCCCCAAATCTGGAGAGATGCCGGCATCCAAACCACGCACAATTCCCTGGGATTTTCTCACCACAGTGTCCTGGTCGTAGATCTCGATGACGATGATGGGGGGGTCATCCCGCATCTCGTGAGCTTCCCCGTACAGCTCCACGTTGTCGAACACCAGGAGCTGGTCCCAGGTCGGGCACAGGGTCTCGTTGAGAACCTGGGAAATGGGAGATATTCCTACTGCTCCAGGAACGGAGCAGGGTCCTGGGAAAGGGTGGCAGGTGGGGCTGCTGTCTGTTTTTTGGATCAGGGAGGGATTGGGAATCTTCCAGAGATTCTTCTGAGGAAGACAATCCAATAGCAAATGAGCAGAGCTGGGTTGTTCCCAGACTTCCTAAAGCTTGGCAACCCTCAGACTGTGAAGGGAAGACTGAAAAATCACTTTAACATGACTCAGTTCTGCCTAAACCAGCAGGAAATCACCTGGAATTATGGTTATGTTTGAGGGTCCCAGGACGAGGGTCGAGATGAGAATCTTGAATTCATGTTTCAGAAGCCTGATTATTATATTATAGTGTCCCCAGGCCTGCACAGGCTCTGTCACCCACGACCCTGGGCTGCTGTCATGTCTTGGATGTAATAAACTGCATTTTGAAGAGCTGCCTGAAGTCCTGCATCCCTCATTTTCGCTCTTACTGTACTGAAACCAGTAGAATAATGCCCAGCACCTGGACTCTGTTAATCCATCACAAAGCAAGAAGCCTTGGATAGTGCCAGAAGGTCGCAGAGACCTGATGAAGACCTTCCTGACTTCATCCCTGTGACCACTGACCCAATTTGAGACCACTGACCCAATTCAAGAGAAGAACTGTGCACGTGTGAAGGACTAAAAACCTCATTTTAATGCAAAGTAGAGATGGGAGGTGCTGGAGTTGTGCATATGTATTAATTTGGGAAATAAATAGAAGGCAAAAATCCTTGTGCAGTGTGGTCACACATTTCAAGAGACGCCTCCCCCGTGCCACCCGCCAGTGTAATAAACACACCACTTTATATCTTTGACTATCATTCTATCTTTGTCCGTGATTTTTGGTTTTAACGATTCAGTATCCCCATTCATCTGTTTAGCCCAGAAATTATTTTTGCACCTTTAAGACTGGTTCTGAGAGCGAAGCAGGGGGAGAAGAAGCACGCAGTTTATTTTCAGACACTGCACTCACTCCTCCACATTCCTGCTCCTGGATTGTGTTGTCTGTGGACAGACAGACAGCAGGACAGAGCTCTCCTTTGCTTTTAGTTAGTTTTAGCTAACTGAGGCAAAGGAGTTCCCTGGATGGTGGGGTTTTTCAAATTTTTTTTTGGAACTATTTAAACCTACTCTGGACTGAACACCCAGAAGAGCACTGGCAGCTCCACCTGTGGCCACCGGGCTGGGCCTGGGCTGCGGCATTTCCAGAGCCAGAGGGACTGATAAGAGACTGATAAGAGACTGAGTGAGCTGAGCTGCAGCCCACAGAAGGGATTTTCTGAGTTTGTCATCTCCTTTGCAATGGCAAGAATTTTTATTGTTTAATATTGTTCAGGTTTTATTGTTTAATAACACTTTTCTCCAAGGAGGTATTTTTCCTGAACTTTCTGAGTTTGTCATCTCCTTTGGAGCAGCCAGAGGTTTTATTGTTCGATATTGTTCATTTTTTTGTGTGCTGGTGAATGCTTTGCCTGTTAAATAAAATTTTTCTCCACTTTTCTTCCAGGGAAATATTCTCCCGAACTGGCTGGGGGAAGGGCTGCTTAAATCTGCTTTCTAGAGAAAACAATTTTGGAGGTTCTCTCCCAAATTTGCCCTAAATCAGGACAGAGCCCATCCAAGGCACATCTCAGGAGCCTGGATTTGGTCATGGGTGAAGGGTCTCAACTCAAAGCATGAATCCCAAATGGATATGGAATTTCCTTGGCATCCTTGTGTGGTGTACAACAAAAACTCTGAACAGGATTGGGATGAGGGGACACAATTCCCACCTCCCATCTTTCATGGGACAACTGGAAATGTCCCCCTTAGTTCCTGGAAGTCCTTGGAGCAAGGGGTGCCCAGCCAGGCTCCCGCCCACCCCCTCCATGCCCCATCCCATGGGAACTCCTTACTGGTGTACAGGAGGCTGATGGGTGGGAAGGAGGGCTTTAATTCCAAAATTACAATAATTTGGAGGGAAGGCGTTTACATTCTCTTTTTTCAGGGGAGGCTCCTGTCTTCTTTAGCAGACATCTGTCTTTTCAAACCACAACACTAAGCCAGAAATTCTCTGGATTTCCAGCTGGATCAAACATCTCCCTCTTCCCAAACATTTCCCACTTACTGGACTGGGTAAATTCAGTGCTTCACCCTCTGTAGGAGCCAATTTCCACCACTCCCAGCAGAGTAGGGATCACATGTCTCCAATATTCAAACCCCAGAAAAAATGGATACAACTCTGTCATCCTCATCTCCCAAATTCCCTCCTCTTGGCTCGCCTGGGACGGAGGGATCCTCACCTTGAGGAAAACCGTCTTCACTTTGGCGCAGTCCTTGCCCATCTCCTCATCCACGATGGAGTACAGGATGTCCTTGGAAGGGATGCGGGCGTAGGCGACGCGCTTGTTGTTGCTCATCATCCAGATGAAAACGTCTGGAATCGTGTGCTGGGGCTGGGAATGCCACAGGAGAGCCCCGTCAGTGCCCCAGCTCCGACCACTGAGGCACCGGTGGGGCTGGAGAGCTGCTGGAGGCAAATCCAACAGATTCCATGGAAGGTGGATTCCAGGGGCCACTGGAATTGTTTGGAGATTCCCACTCCAAAAAAGCTGCTCAAAGATAAGCCCATCAGGAAAGAAACTGGGATTTATTGATGCAGCAAAATAGAAAAATTATAAAAGAAAGGCCACACTGGGAGCACTAGAATTGTTTGGAGATTCCCACTCCAAAAAGCTGCTCAGAGCTAAGCCCGTCAGGAAAGAAACTGGGATTTGTTGATGTAGCAAAATAGAAAAATTATAGAAGAAAGGCCACACTGGAGGCACTGGAATTGTTTGGAGATTCCCACACCCAAAAAGATGCTCAAAGATAAGCCCATCAGGAAAGAAACTGGGATTTGTTGACGCAGCAAAATAGAAAAAATATAAAAGAAAGGCCTCATAAAATCAGGCTTGCTTTAGATCTAGCCTTGTCAAGCCAGCGCTTTGCAAGTTCCCATGTGGAAACAATCCTGGTGTGAGCAGTTCGTCAACATAACAATCTATTCCTGGGTGAAAAACAACTGGCACCTGCATAGACATTAAATCTATCCCATGAGAATCAGTGAAGAAAATTTGTAAACAATTTAAGAATTGTTAATAAACAAGTAAAACAAGTAAAATGCCTTTTACTAACCAGTAAAGTAATTGGCAAGAAAGTTCCTAACCCACTGGAGTCACACATGAGGTTTGTAAAACTGTATAAAAATGAGTTATGTGAATAAAGAATTGGCTTTTTCCAATTTTTTGACATGATGAAAATGGAGTCTTGTGGTTGGGATTGAAGGTATTTGAGATGATAGTTGTGTTTAGATTTAGGTATTTATTGTTTTTTATTAATATTATAGTTTCACAGCAATGAGTTCTGTAGGTTTTTATTAGTAAGGTGTAAAATGCTTAACTATTATTTGTTATAAGGTCTTTTAAGGTTAAACTATTTAATTAAGAAATTATACCTAAATTATTTTCTCTTTTCATCTAATAACTCATCACTCAAAATCTGTAATGCGGACTTTTCTGTTTAATTAAAAAATACCACTTAAACTCAAGAAGAAGAAGGAAGAAAAAGGTAAAGAAGAACAATTTTTTTTGTCTTAAAACCTCCATTTTGCTTTTTATTTATTATTATATTCTAAAACCCCAAACTCTACATTTTCCACCTTGTGATATCACACACTTCTAACTAACTACACACCCGTAAACCAATGCTATAGATTTATTTTGGAAGCCTTCTTTACAGCCTCAGATTAAATGCAGTGTTCTCTTGTGGATCTGTACCTTTCAGCACAGAAAGTTTAAAATTCTTAGTATCTAGGGTTTCAACAGGGTCTCGTGTGATTTATGTTGATAATTTATGCTGGTTATAAGTTTAAAAATATATAAATTTGGGATATAGAAGACTGAAGGGTTTTTGTTCTCTCCTTCTTCAGCAGACTTGGGGAGGGGAGGGCAGCGGGCATTCCTCATCTCTGTCTAGGGAAGATATTCCCAGTCTGGACTGGGCCCCTCCTCTCCAGATCTTGGCTGGGTCAGGATCAAGGAAGGTCTGGCTGAAACCAGGGATAGAACTGGGAGTCTTCCATGGGAATTGGAAGCAGGAGGTGGAACAGCTGCAGCTCCAGGGAGGGACAAGAACCCCCTCTGAGCCAGTCCTAAACTGGGAAAATGTCATGGAAACATTCCAGAGCCTGAAGGGGCTCCAGGAGAGCTGCAGAGGGACTGGGGACAAGGCATGGAGGGACAGGACACAGGGAATGGCTCCCAGTGCCAGAGGGCAGGGCTGGATGGGAGATTGGGAATGAGGAATTGTTCCCTGGCAGGGTGGGGAGGGGCAAGAATGGAATTCCCAGAGCAGCTGTGGCTGCCCCTGGATCCCTGGGAGCGTCCAAGGCCAGGCTGGATGGCACTTGGAGAACCCTGGGATAGTGGAAGGAGCTGGGGTTGGAACTGGATGGGAATTCAAATCCCTTCCCACCCAAACCAGTCTGGGATTTGATGTGTCACCTTTCCAATTCCTGATTTCCCAGGGATCCACAGGATCCCTCCACGTCTGGGACTGGCTGAAACATCTTCAGCTCTGCTGCAGGAGGACCCAGCTCTGTCCCTGCTTGGGAAAACCTTATATTTCTTTTACAACGTCTCATTCCCACCCAGGAGTGCACAGGGATCATGGGGCAGCCCATGCACTTGGAATGGCTCCTTGCAGAGGGACCTCTCCTGCCCTTGGAGGTCTCCATTCCATTCCATTCCATTCCATTCCATTCCATTCCATATCATCCATCTGTTCCGTCCATCCATATAATCCATCTGTTCCATCCATCCATATAATCCATCTGTGCCATCCATCCATCCATCCATCCATCCATCCATCCATCCATCCATCCATCCATCCATCCATTCCATGTTTCTGTCTCCATGACTTGCCCCAGCCAGAGCCCCCTCTGCCCCTGAGGGACTCACCTCATCCGCCAGGAACCGCAGCTTCTGCAGGAAGTTCTGCACCAGCTTCAGCTTGTCCTTCATGGTGTTCCTCTTGACCTGGGAGCGCAGGGCCGTGGCCTGCTGGGCCATGTTCTCCTGTGGGGACAGCCAGGACATCAGGACACAGCTCGGACCAAGGAAAGGCGCCTCAATCCCACCAGGTCAGGATGGACACCTTCAGAAACCCTTTTGTTGACCTTGGCATGTCAGAGCTCCTGAGAGGGTAGAGACAGCCCAGGAGAAGGTGACACCACAACGGTGTCACCTGAGCTTGGAGAATTTTGGGGTGGCTTGAGGAAGGTGCCCCTCCTGCTGTCACCCATCTCATGACCCTTGGAGCTTCCACATGAACATGTGGAATTCAACAATTCTGGACTCTCGAGGATGCAGCTGGCCACTGGAGTTGGTGACCTTGGCCATGCCAGCTGGAGAAGCCACCAGCTCCTTGTCCAGCTCTCCAGCACATCCTTGGCAAGGAGCGGGGCCACCAATCCCAAGCCTCTGTCCCAGGGGCAGCTCTGCTTTTTGAGGTTCCTAAAATCAACCCAAATATCTGTCCCTGGGGGAAACTCTGCTCTGGACGAGTTCCCAAAATCACCCCAAACCTCTGTCCCTGGGGCGGCTCTGTTCTGAAAGGATTCCCAAAATCAGCCAAAATTTCTGTCCCAGGGGCAGCTCTGTTTTTTGGGGTTCCCAAAATCCCCCCAAATCTCTGTCCCTGGGGCAGCTCTGCTCTGCGGGGTTCCCAAAATTTCCTTTCCAGCTCCTCTGTCCTCCTGAATTTCTTTCCAGAGTCTGTTGGAGGGGAGCCAGCAGAGGCCCAAGTGACACCTGGGACTTGGCTGAGACCTGAGTTGCCTTTGGGGTGAGAATTAAACCCCAAATCCCTGACCCACAGGGACTGGAGACCAACGTGTCCATGGACCAAATTCCATCCCCTGCTCAGGAATTCTCCACTCTTCCCAAAGCTTCCCTGAACAACCCTGCTCACCCTGCTAGGGAACAATTCCTAATTCC